AGAGAGAGAGAGAGAGAAATTAGTGATGAGAATCATTGATTGGCTGCCTCCTGCATGCCCCCTACTGAAGAATGAGCCCACAACCTGGAACATGTCCTAACCAGGAATTGAACCATGACCTCTTGGGTCATAGGACAACTCTCAAACACTAAGCAACACTAGCCTGGCTCAAATTGCCATATTTAAGTTGCTAGATCTGAACAAGAAATGGAACTGAGATTAGAATATTATGGCAGGGGTTGGGAGTGGAGAGGATAGATCATTTAGAGAGGAACAGAAAGCATTTCTAACTGAACGAACAGAGGGGAATTTATGGGATGGTGGTTGGTAGCTCTCAGAATTGTCCTGGAGGCCTAGGGACACAGTGAGGGAGCAGCAACAAGGACCACTGAACCCTCTGCTCTGCTTGATGGAGAAAGGTTCGGCTGGTTCCAGGCTTCCTGGCCCATTTCTGGATCTAGCTTTTAAAATATTCCCAGGCTTGCCAAAACCAGTTTGGCTCAGTGGATAGAGCATCAGCCTGCGGACTGAAGGGTTCTGGGTTCGATTCCCATCAAGGGCACGTACCTTGGTTGCAGGCACATTCCCAGTAGGGGTTGTGCAAGAGGCAGCTGATCAATGATTCTCTCTCATCGATGTTTCTAACTCTCTATCCCTCTCTCTTCCTCTCTATAAAAAAAATCAATAAAATATAAAAAAATATATTACCAGGCTTTTAAACTTTCCATTAGTCTACATCTAGTGGTGTTTATATTATCTGCTAAGGGTAGTAAAAGTAAACGCAAGGCCCTCCACATAAAGAGAGAAGAACCTGATACTATATATCAATCCATATCTACAGTGCCTGCTGGGCTAACTTCACTGCAGGGCACAATGGGGGCCCTGGGATTCCACCGCGGAAGAGAGGACACGAGGTTAGGAGGTTGGAGAAAGACTTCAAGGGAAAGGCCCTAGAGATGGGCATTGACCATGGCAGCTTTTGCCAGGGAAGTTGTCAGCCTTTCAAACAGGAATGTAAATAACGAAAGGGGCCCAGATGTAAGAGCCTAATGAGAGTCACCCACCTGAGTGCGTCCCCCCCCCCCCCCCCCCCCCCGCCCTCTCCTGTGATTGGGTTTATAAGGCTTAGCTAAATGAAGGGTGGTTTCTGCAGGAAGAGGCCCTGCCCTTTGGAGGCCGGAGGGCTGTGTGGGAGAGAAGGAAAGGTGGTAGGGGTGGAAGGGGGGGAGGAGAAGGGGAGGCAGAGAGAAAGACCCCCACATTCTACCTCTGAGACAAAAAAGTGTTTCTCTGTGCATCTGTCGTAGGGTAACAAACCTGGACACAAGGAAATGAGGATGGTCTTTCCCTTGATCCCCATCTCTGTTTAGAAAAGGGTTTGTGAGCCCTGTCCATGCTGGACGTGGGCCCCAGTTTCCTGGCAGCCACCAGAGGCACAAAATCTCATGGTAAGGCCCAGTCACACCAGAACAACTGAGTCCTGCCCAGTCCATGGCTCTCGGGTGAAGGCTGTGGAATATGAGGCCCAATGTGGCAAGAACAGGGCACCAGGGACAGTGATAAAGTGCTCGATCTTCCACTCCTCTTTCCCATCTGTACTTATTAGCATTGGCTGGAGGCTCCGCCCTGAATTGAGGCTACAGGAGGAGTCGAAAAGAGAACAATAAGTAAGTCCCCTCTTTTCATTGCTTCTGTCTTGTTGTCTGTAACACAGGAAATTGGGGTTTTAGGCCTTTGCTATGCTGTGTTTTGCTGTGCTTCATGAGCTCACACATGAAGTCGGGAGTGGCCGCTGTGTGGGCTAGGGGAGAGGTGCTGGGGGCAGCAGCGCAGAAAGATGAGAGCTGCAGCTTGTCCACTGCTCCATGGGAACAAGGCCCCTGACAGGCGCCTTGCAAACTAGAGGCATTGTCAGAAGCTTTGGCAAAATGCAAGGAGAAACTGCACGAACGGTGTGATGGGATGATCGCTGACCGCAAATTCCCTGCCCAGTCAGGGAGGCGGTGCTGGGTGGGGGTTTCATTGCGCTGGAACTTTTTAAAGCAGATCCAGGCTTACTGACCATTCACGTGGACTCAGGAGAGGAGAGGGCAGCATGTTGAATGACATCTCCCTCTGGTTAAACTAGATTCTTCCTCATTGACAGGTGCCCTGCACTGTGCTTCTGGGTCTCTCCACAGAGCCTCCCTCACAGCTTCTGTGAAGCCAAGGAGGGCACTCAGGTTTGAGGGTGATTTTCCAGGGTCTGGGGCATCTGCCCTCTGCATTTCAGTCACAGTTGCTGTCTCTGAGGAGTGTTTTCCAGATGACTGGCCTAGAAACGCCCTGGGGCTCAAGGCCCTGTCCACCTTGTCTTAATGTCTCACTTTACCCCCTGCCGTGATGCCTGGTAGTAAGAGTGTCCAGGACAGGAGGGGCCAGAGGCCTCAGGCCTACCCCTCTTCTCCATTTTGGCTGGAACATGGGAGCTGTGGCCTTCATTGACCACTTGTTTTCCCTACCCCCTCCCCAATTTCCTGTAGTTGAGACCAAAAAACCAGTATCAGCCAGATTCGACAGACATATTATAATATCACTTATTTTTTTAATCCTCATTCAAAGAGTGAGGATTATTTTTCCATTGATTTGTAGAAAAAGTGGGTGGGAAGAAGGAGAGAGAGAAAGAGAGAGAGAGAGAGAGAGAGAGAGAGAGAGAGAGAGAGAGAGAGACAGACATTGATGTGAGAAAAACATATTAAGTGGTTTCTTCCCACAGGCACCCCAACTGGGGACAGGGATCGAACCCACAACCCAGATACATTCCCTTGACCAGGATTCAAACCCGAGACCCTCCAGTGCGCAGAACTACACTCTAACCACTGGGCAATGCTGGCCAGGGCCATACTATAATACTAATATATAAAAAGCCAGGGGCTGTCACAACTGAAACAACAGGACTGATGACCGAACACAGGCTGTGTGGGTGACCAGGCCGGCAGGGGTGTTAGTGAGGGACGACCAAACAACTGAATGGCAGGCTGTGTGGGGCGACCAGGTCGGCAGGAGGGGGCAGTTGGGGGTGACCAGGCTGGCATGGGGGCAGTTGGAGGCAATAAGGCTGGCAGGTAGAGGTGGTTAGGGGTGATCAGGCTGGCAGGGGGTGTGCAGTTAGGAGCCAGCTGTCCCAGATTGTGAAAGGAATGTCCAACTTTAGGGATCAGGCCTAAACCAGCAGTTGGCATCCAGTGCAGGCTGGGCTGAGGAGACGCCACCACCACCCCCATGCACAAATTTCATGCAGAGGGCCTCTAGTGTCTTTATAATAAATTTGCCTTATGGTTTTGGGATTATTTTGCCAGCCCCCAAATCCCTGTGACAGGTATTGGAGGGCAGAAGCAATTGCTATCTGGAGAGGAGAGACAAGGACAAGCCTTCCAGCAGTCCCCACCAGCCTCAGAAGCCTAGGACTCCCCTCTCTGACCCACATTTAATAAAAACCTTCCACACAGACCCCATCGGGAGCATCTAGTTCTCCGAGGTCACCCGCTCTCACTTCTCAGGTGCTTTGCATCCTGTCACTTTAATAAATTCACTGTGCTTTGCTAAATTTTTCTGTCACGCTCTGGATTTCCTTCTTGTTCTGTGACAAGAACCTGTATCCCAGTATCAGATTGAGGTGTCCCTTGTCGCCCGGATCAAAAGGATCTCAACAAGTCTCTTTCAAAGGTAACACTCAAAGGTCTTTACAGGTATAAATGATGCTTCCTTAGAAGGACTGGATTTACATGAGATCCAGGGGACAGTTGGAGAATTAGCCATGGTTTCAAAGGATTTGAAGTCACTAAGTGTTTTTTTTCTCTTTGAAGGATAGCAGGATCAGGCTTCTGAGTTGGTGAGTGAAGAAACAGGGATAGATAGAGTTGTTTGTGTTTAATTCAGAGTTCAGCTAAGCATTCACAGATTGGAGGAGACTCCTCAGCTCCCCATTTCACAACCATCAGTGAGAAACCAGAGCTCATGAATTAGTCGCTCTATCTCCTAGTAGTTTTAAACAAAGCCCGTTCTTCTATGAAAAATTTCCCATTGTTCAGGTCAGGAATCAGGCAGAAAAATTTTATTATAACTTTCTATTATGCAAGACATGAAAAAACATATTAAAAATTTGGCGAATTGGGCAAAACGTTCCCTCCTAATAGTTCCACACTAGCCCAGCGGTTTTCAAAGTGCGGCCGTGGACAGACTCAGCATCGCCTGGGGGCTTGTCTGAGATGCACATTCTCGGTCCCCACCCAGACCTAGTGCATCAGAAACAGCAGTTTGTGCTTCAACACGTCCTCCAGGAATCTGGATGCACTGGAGTTTAAGAACTGCTCCAGCTGCACAACCTTTATCAGCATTTTACAGCGTGTGTGTGTGTGTGTGTGTGTGTGTGTGTACACAGGCATCACCAAGCTGTCAGAGTACAAAGGCAGTCATTGTGATAAGCCTGAATCTCTCCAGCCTAGAGCCCCACCCATCCATGTAGTAAGTCCTGAGGCTTGCAGAGTTCTTTAAGGTCAGGAATGGGGGATTCACCATGGTGGGCCTGGGCGGACTGCCTCCTGGGGCCTCGGACAATGACGTTAATGGTTTGTTCTAGAATCTGGTGGCTCAGTAGCCCCACCTACCTATTGGCAGGACTCGCATCTTTCCCTGGCTAATGTTTCTCGGAGCCACATTCCTTTAGAATGGATCACCAGAGCTCACTCTTCACCCTCTCCATCTGGTAAGGCAAATGCAGGGTAGAAGCTCAGGGTATGTTCTGTACAGAGAGCCACCATTCCCTTGGACCTTCCGGCCTGGGGCAGAGTCTCCCCCAATGCCAGTCAGGCTTTTGCAAGAATAAAACAGGCAACTTCATCAAATGACAAAAACAAAAATACCTGTGGGCCCTGGAGAATGTCCCTTCCTCGTCTGGAAAGCGGGCATGCATGTCATGGTAGACTAGTGTGGCCACAGTTAACGACTCCAGACTCCGTACATTAAAATTCCTCACTCAGTGTTTATTCCTCACTCAGGCTAGACGTCTGTTAACACATCAGCTGGTGACTTTGCTCGGCTGGGTCCTCACTCTGGATTCTGGTTGATGGAGCACAGCTGTTTAGGAGACTGTTGCAGAGGGAAGCGAAAGCTTTATGGCATCTCATATCAACAGTCACATTCTCTGCAAGAAGTGGCCATCACTGTCCTTCCTAACCCACTAGAGAAAAACATGTCCCTGTGTCCCCACTTAACCATAAGGTGTGTGGAAAGTGCACTTCTACTACATATTATATGTACCTGGAAGGGACATCGGAGCTTTACTCATTTTGTCTGATTCTGTCTGTGGACTAGCTCACAAGCCCACATGCTCTTCTTACTGGTTCCTTATCCATCACTATCAGCTTGCCTCTGCTTTTACATGTTTTAGTTTACATCACCAGGACATGATTGGCACCCCAGCCTGCAGACAGGATCCCCTTCTATCAGATGTTCACCCTGTGCCCAAGCAGCAGGGGTGGTGGAGGAATGAAAGAGATTCCTAGTACTCACATGCTGCTCTTGTTCTTCCTTGGCAATGTCTCTCACCTTGCCTTCCGTCGCTCTGTCCTCTCCTTGTAACTTTCACCCCTATGTGGGGACAGCATTCAAGTTCATTCCTGTGTGCTCCTCGGTCCTAGAAAAACCAGGGTGAAGTGGCTAATGCCCAGAAATTAGAACCCACCTTGGGCTGTTCTGCTACCAACTGATCGAATTCCATCAGAGTTTCGCTTGAGCCCAGCCATCTATACTTTGTGATGCATGCCGTATGTGTACAACTTAGTACCACACGTGATCACCTTAGATAGTGCGTGTTTTAGATGGGCAATCTGAAACCCACTATCGTAAGGGAAATCCAAGTTCACATTTGGGCCTTTTCATCGCTATAAACAGAGGTTTAAGTGCTATTACTGTAGTAATAGCCCACTTCGATTTTATCTACCCAACTGTAAGGATTTTTAAGAATTTTGTTCTTTTTAAGTCGTTAAGTTGTATCAAACCAAAATACATACTAAAGAAGGGCAGGTGTTTTTTTTCCCAAGGTGTGTGGGTTTAAGGGATGCTGACCAGTGTTTCCTGCAGCCAACCACGCAGGGGCCAGGTGGAGGAGGAGGAGGAGGAGGAGGAGGAGGAGGAGGAGGAGGAGGAGGAGGGGGAGGGGGAGGGGGAGGGGGAGGGGGAGGGGGAGGGGGAGGGGGAGGGGGAGGAGGAGGAGGAGGAGGAGGAGGAGGAGGAGGAGGAGGAGGAGGAGGAGGAGGAGGAGGAGCGATGACTTATTCATTATCCCCACAGGACGCCACTCCTTCCCTCCCAGGCTGCAGAGGCCAGGCTCAAAGGACAGCAGGCAGCTTACTGCAGCCGCGACCTGGGAGCCAGCGAGACACCTGAGTCCTGCGGGTGCCTGGGCACCAAAGTGACCACGCACCGTCCGCACGCCCAGCCCTCTGACCCGGCAGCAGGCCCGCGAGTCCCGCGGACGGAGCCGGGTCCGCGCGTGGGGCGCCCGCGCCCAGGTGGCTGGGCCAGCAGCACCTGTCCGCCTGCCCCGCGCGCGGGGCGGGGCTTCCCGCGTCCCCTTTAAGAGGCCGCATCACCCGCCCTGACGTCAGTGTGTCTCTCCGCACCAGCCCGCGTCCCGCGGCTCCGCGCCCACGGCCCCGCGGCTGCACGACGAGCGGCGGCCGGGAGCGCGCCGCTCCGCTCGGCCCCGCTGCTCCGTTCCGCCGCTCCCTCCTTCCCGCTCCGGCACCCGCACCCGCATCCACGGCAGCTTCCCGCGCCCCCAGCACCATGTCGGTGGCCGGGCTGAAGAAGCAGTTCCATAAAGCCACGCAGGTAAGGCGCGGGCAGGTGTGCGGCGGGGCGGTCCCAGGCGGAGCTGGGCGCTGGCCAGGGGCCGGGAGCTGGGACCCCACTGTCCCCGGCTGCACCCGCATCGCCCGCCCCGCCGGCCGCCGCATCTGGGACCGGGAGCCCGCCCGCCATCCCCGCCCCCGGCTCAGTGCGGAGCTGCGGGCACTGGTGTGTCCGGCGTCCCGCCTCCGCACCGCCCAGCCCAGCGCGGGGACGCCCGGGAGGAGACCCGGCTGCACCATCGCCGGGCGCGCAGGTGCCCCGCGGCGGGAGGTTATGTAAAGGCGCCTGGGTGCCCGGTGACCTTGCGGTGCCGCCGGTGCCCCGATCGTCCTGGGATGTGTTGGCACGAACCGTGGCCCGCGCCAAACGCTGCTGCGGGGATGTCCGCGGGCGGTCGGTGCTCCTCCCTGGTCTCTGAGTCACTCCTCCCACCCACGGGTGTCCTCAGGCTCAGAGGAATGCCAGGACCAGGCTGCCTTCAGGAAGCTCATGCATCAACTTTTCCTCGGGGAACTTGGTGGTCCAACTCCTTTCAAGCCAAGGACTTGACCAGCAGTCAGCATGTCTTTAAAAAAACCCCCAAGGGGGTTGCAGCCTTAACCAGCTCATCATATATTTAATGTATATTTAGTGAGCCTTTTACATGACGGATGTGGCTATCTTTCTCTGCGGGTTCAATAAGCTGTGATTATTGTAAGACATTAGCTCAGATTCGAATGATTTACATCTCAGTGGGCTTGGTTGAAGGGTTTTATGTAGGGAAAAGTACGAGAATGCTAATAGTGTGACCTATATCTTACATAATGAGTATGAGTACTATTTTTTTTTTACAATCCAGAAACAGTTCTAGTTTACGAGATCTTGTTCTGAGGGCTTGGTTGATGTAATTAAATATTCCTCATAATATAGCCTTAAACCTTGTTTTCATAGAGTAGCTTTAATGAATGCTGAGCTTTCTGGTAATTCCACAGAAAGTAGTGAGGTTTTCCCCAGGTGACTATAGTAGCAGTCCTGCTAGCAACCACATCCAGGAAGGGTGAGGGTTGTGTTGCGTAGAATCTTGGATAAGTTAGGGTGACAAATGCAGCACGAAATTCCCCTGGTGTGCACCCACGTGCCATCTCTGTCACCACAGACTTGCCTTGCCTTTATAGAGCGAGTTATTTTGGTCGATTTGGGAAGTCAAAGAAACAGAGACCATTTTAGTAAAAATGCCCATCATTTTTGCTCTTCAAACTGGAGCTGTCTGCGACCTCTGCCAGAAATGTCTGTGAATATGTGTTTTGCGGGTGTAATTTGGAAGGGCTCTCTTAACTTTATGCTTCAAACACCCTCAGATTTACAGGCCCAGCATAGGCGCCCCTCATAAGGTTGTAAGATTGCAGACTGGACGTCTTTGATGTCACTGACCTGTTTTATTTCAGGTACTTGTCACTTCTCTAGGGCAGACCTAAGCACCTGGCTTACCAACCCCACATCCTTTTCTCCCACACGTTGATTCTGAGGACTTCCTTTTGCAAATCTTGGTGCCCTAAAAGGCAATTAGGAGCCTTGGCTTTAGGGTGGAAAAGACTGTCTTGACCCCTCTGCTGCTGTCTATGACCTTGGGCAAATTCTTTAACTTCCGAATCTGCCCTCGCTAAAATGAGGATACTATCAATTTCTTAGAATTGATGTGGACATAAGTGAGTTTGTAGAACACACACCCAAAGTGTTCACTAAATGCTGTTAATATGAAGGATCATTTTAGTAGGTTAAAATACTGTCCCTTCTATTGGCAAGAATGAGCATGAGGAAATTATAGAAGCTAGAATTTTATTTTAGTTTTGCTTCCTTTATCAGAAATAGTCAGAAGGCTCCATTTCAGCCAAATCCTGAAGTTGTATGTATTACATAGCTTTGAATGCTCTGAATACAGAATTGAAATTGTGATGTGAAAGAGCTGCTTAGGTTCTCTGAGAATGTGTGCCTGTGGTAAAATTGGCATTTATCACACTGAATCCAGATGCAGAATCACATCATTTGCTTCTTTTCTTTTTTTTTCTTTCTGAAAAGCCTTTCATTTTAAAGGTGGAGCAACACAGAGGCTTATCCGTTGCTTAATGTAGCACAATCTTGGAGAGCCCAAGGCAAAGGTTATTCTTCCCGGGCATGCATGTGTATTTTTAAGGGTGTGTGAAGCCTGTACCAATGTTTGCCTGTGACCAAGATTCTAGGGGAAATAGCCATATTCTCCATTTTCCCTACACAGCTCACGAACCTGATTTTATCTATAAAGGAAGCTTTGGACCAAGAATTATTTCCTTTTTAGAACAGATTTGCTGTATTAGATAGTCTGTGTTTCTTAGGTGGAAGACCCCTCTTGAGGCTAATGTTTCTCCTGTGTGTGTGTGGGTGTGTGTGTATTTGTTTATGTGAGGGAGGGATGATGTTTGTATGAAAAAGCAGTATATGTTTAATGTTTGTCCACTGGTTGGAAATATCTGATCAGATGTGTCATACCTATTCTCTTGGTTTAGGACTGACTATTTCTACCTTGTTGCTGGCAATTCTTTTCAATATCTCAGGTATTTGGAGGTGGGTGAAAAACTGCTTTTGCCAAATAAATTTTACTAGAGTGGAAGAACATGTTAAAATAGCAAAAATTGATCATCTTTTTACTTTAATAAACTTTATTACCTTACTGCTTATAAAGATGTAATTTACCATGCAGTTAGAATAAATAAGGCTTTCTCTATTTATTCCTGCAAAATCCTATATAATAAAGAGGTGATATGCAAATTGACTGCCACACCCTCACAAGATGGCTGCCTATAACCAGGCCGACAGGGGGGTTAGTGAGGGATGACCAATTGACTGAACAAGTAGGCTGTGTGACCAGTCTGGCAGGATGTGTGGGGATGGGTGGAAGCCAGGCTGGCAGGGTGATAGTTGGGAACAAGCAGGCCAGCAGTGGGGTAGTTGGGGTAACCAGACTGGCGGGGGGGGGGGGGGGGGTGGTGGAAATAAAGTGACCAGGCAGGCAGGCAAGTGAGAGATTAGGAGCCAGCAGTCCAGGATTGTGAGAGGGATGTCCGAATCTCAGTTTAGGCATGATTCCTGGGATTGAGCCTAAACTGGCAGTAGGACATCCCTGGATTGGAGAGGGTGCTGGGCTGAGGGGGACCCCCCCCCCCCCCACGAATTTCATGCATGAGGCCTCTAGTAAGGAAAATAAGAATGTATTATTGTACTTTTAGTGTTTTATTCATATTGAGATTTCATTTTAGCAAGAATAATGGCAATATTGTTGTTCACTTGTTTTACACTGGTAGCAGATTAGTAACATACTGTTCTTACAAAATATATATAAATTTTTTTCACTTTATCAGGCATTGATGTGGATGTAACTTTATAGTAACATGGCTGAGTAGAGTTTATTAGGTCATTATATCAGTTTGCTAGAGCTACAAAACAAAGTGCCACAAACTTAGTACCTTAACAACAGAAATTTATTATCTTGTACTTCTGCAGACTTGAAGGCTGAGGTCAAGGTGTTGGTAGGGCCAAGCTTCCTCTGAAGGTACTGGGCAAGGCAAGCATACGTTCCAGGCCTCTCTTCTGGCTTCTGATGGTTGGTTGGCAGTATTTGGCGTTTCTTGTCTGGCATGGGCATTCCTCGTTTCATTGTGCTTTACTTTGGTGAGCCTCACAGAGGTTGTGTTTTTTATAAATTGAAGGAAAGATTCTCCATGCAAAAATATTACTGCTCACTTTATTGTGATGGTGGCTTTTTGTGGTGGTCTGGAACCGAGTCCACAGTAGCACCAAAGTATGCCCGTGGACACCTCACCCAGATCTCTGCCTTCGTGTTCACACAGCATTCTCCTCTGTCTCTCTGTGTCCTGATTTCCCCTTTTCCTATGGACACCAGTCATGTTGGATGGGGGCCCTACTTCAGCATGACTTCATCTTAAGTAATTAGATCTGCAGTGACTATTTCCAAATAAGGTTACATTCTGAGGTACCAGGGGATAAAACTCAGCATGGAATTATTATTTTTTTTTTGGGGGGGGGGCGGGCAATAGTTCAACCTATAACACTCGTTATTTGCATAAAAGGATTCACAAGTGTTTTAACTATTGCATTTGATTCAACATTTAAAAGGATAATTCAGTCTGTAAATAATATGCTTTCTTCTTTCAGTGAGTTTGGTTGGGATTTGTACCAATTGTAGACTTTGTCTCCTGGTTTTGTTCCAGTGATGAAACTCCTTTGGTTGGGCTGTGAATTAGGAGGTAGTCTGGTATGTGATTATTGTCCTGCTCAGCTTCTTCAACGGGAAACATTTAATTACACAGGTATTCCGTGCCTTTCTGCTTTAAATAATTTCTTCATCCTTTATCATATTTAAAATTTTGTGTTTTCAAAATGCAGCCGCCTCTGAGGGGTGATCAAATATTTAAAAATCCTTCCAGAGGTGTCAGGATCGATTTAGATAATGTTTGTGCGAGTGCCAACCTTGCATCAGGACAACTTGAACCATGATTTTTGTTAATGAGCTCAAGCTTACTCATACACATGGCTAGTGGACGTGTACCTGGTTTAAAATGAAAGTTGCAACAGGAAATAATTTCCTTTGAGACAGCTTCTTTTTGATCAAGGTTTTTGTTGACATAGTTATATATTTCTCCTCCTTCCCCCCACAGTGATTCTTTAATGTTTTAAAATGAGTTTATATGAATTTTAGTTTCAATTTATTTGTAACATTTTAAAGTATCCCCCAAATTAATTAGAAATATTATTGAAAATGGCAAGACCTGGTTGGTGAAATTTTCTATTTTTTGGAGAAATGTCATTGGGAGCATGGGGGAGGGAGGGAGCTTATGTTTGCAGAGCAGATTCCATTCTGCCAAGCCTCTTGTGCTGCATACAGATTCCCAGGGCATCAGGCAACCCTAGGGCTTTCTTTAGGGTAGGAGGAGCTTGAGAAAATGACA